GCGTCTGTGTGTGCACGTCTGTGCATGTCTGTGTGTGCCTCTACGTGTGCATCTGTGCATCTGTGTGTGTGCATATCTTAGTGTGCATGTCTGTGTGTGCCTGTCTGTACATGTGCATCTGTATGTGCGTCTGTGAGTGTGTGCGCATGTCTGCATGTCTGTGTGTGCATGTCTGTATGTGTGCATCTGTGCGTCTGTGTGTTCGCATGTCTGTGTGTGCGTGCACTTGTGTATCCATGTGTGTGGAGTGAGAGGTTTGGTGTCAATGTGAGAGCAGGGGGATTAAGTACTCAGGATTCTGAAGCGGGAGGCCAGGTGGCTGCTTTTGGACTCAGGACAAGACATTCCCTTTGCCGGAGGAGCAGCTGGAGGAGGTCCCTCCGCATTCACTCAAAAAGGGTTCGAACTAATTTGAAGCTTCCAGGAGGGCGGGGGGACCCTGATTTCAGGGACCTCAGGTTTGGGTGCCGGTAACTATGGGGTCTCTTTATAGTCAGGGCTCCTCTCTGGGCCTCCTAGACGGTGGAACCCCTGACCTCTGCCGCAAGCCTGAAGGAACTCCTGGGCGTCTGAGGAGGAGCTGCGTCATGGATGCCAATCTCTGGGCTCTTCCAGGATGTTTGTTCTCAAGAAATCTGCTCTAGCCACAAGCCCTTCACACTGCGGACTAGAGAGAGTCCCCTCAGAGCCTCTGACCTTTATCTCCACTTCCTGTGAATGGGTGAAGCCCCGCGCCATGCCTCTCCTTTCCCGCCTTTTCTAGGAATTCCTCCTGCCTCAGTGTCCTTGCTCTGCCGTTAACCACGGCTGGGGTCAGAATCCACAGTCTAGCCAATCTTTCCAGAGGGACTATGGTTGTTAACTGTCCCTGCTGACACTGGGACCTGTCTCCCCTCCCTGGCCTGAGTCTTACCTTGATTCTCTTAATGACAGAGAGGGAGACGTAAAGAACTCGGGAGCCAACGCCAGCGCGAGCTACACTGGTCTCCGCCTCTTGCTCCCTGCAGATGCTGTTGGGGACCAGCCTCAACATCACCCGTAGGGTACCCAAAGTCCGGTGGCGACTAAGGAATGAGAAGAGACAGGTTAAGAGTGTATAAAGAGTGGGGGACAGGGGGCCAATTGCAAAATGGAGGCTGCAAAAGGCCCAGAGTTCTGGTCTCCACTCTGTTTATTGAGTACATTCACTTAGATCTACAAAGCAAACGTTCAGGGCGAAATGGTGAAAGGGAGCAGTGCGTCCTACGTGTAATCTATAGCAGTGGCGGTTTAAATGAATCTCCTTTGTGCTCAAACAGCGTATTTTTAACTTATCGGAGAGTAGCTAGTGGGAGCGGGCTTAACTGGGAACCTGCACGTCTGGCCACATTCCAACGCTTCAGAGGAGTGTCTTCCTCCTTAAACACAGTGTTCATGGATAAGAGAGCAAGTCTCGCTCAGAACATGGGAAAATAATGGCGATAAGAAGGCATCCTCCTCAGAGGCCTCTTGTGGCTTTCCACAACTTATTGTCCCATATTTTTATGGCCAGTTAATACAAGCACCCCATATGCCTTTCCACCAACAGATACCAGGCGTGAGCTACATTGGTCTCTGCCTCCTGCTCCCTGCAGGTGCCAGGCGCGAGCTACACTGATGTCTGCTTCCGCAGGTGCCAGGCGCGAGCTACGCTGGTCCCCGCCTCCTGTGCCCTGCAGGTGTGGATGCTGCTGGCTGTGCACCGTGGGGTTCCTGAGCGTGAGGTCACCTGGGAACTGCCCTTGTCTAATTCTCTTTTTTTTTTTTGAGACGGAGTCTCGCTCTGTCGCCCAGGCTGGAGTGCAGTGGCCGGATCTCAGCTCACTGCAAGCTCCGCCTCCCGGGTTTACGCCATTCTCCTGCCTCAGCCTCCCGAGTAGCTGGGACTACAGGCGCCCGCCACCTCGCCCGGCTAGTTTTTTGTATTTTTTAGTAGAGATGGGGTTTCACCGTGTTAGCCAGGATGGTCTCGATCTTCCGACCTCGTGATCCGCCTGTCTCGGCCTCCCAAAGTGCTGGGATTACAGGCTTGAGCCACCGCGCCCGGCCGCCCTTGTCTAATTCTCAGCCTGCCTCTGGGGTAAGTGGGAGACTGCACAGAGGGGTGGCGTCTGCCTCTGCTCTTTTTTCTCAGTTGCCCTGGGGAAAAACCCGGCCATTTACTAATATCCAGTCCTAACTTTCCTCCCTCATTTGAGGCAGGGGAGTGGACACTTCAGTCACTGCTTACTCTGTTTCTGTGGGACAGTGAAGACAGACGAAGATGAGAAAAGGCCCTTGCTGTAGGTCTTCTCGCTCAGTGTACCTCACTTTCTGGAAAGGTGCCGCTGGCCTTGTGCCACTCAATATCTTCCTGGCTGGCTGATTAGCCCCTTGCCTGTGGGGCCCTTGCCGTGTGCTCGGGAGTCACCTGCTTCAGCCCTGGGAGCTTCGGCGCTGCTTGGCAACCATTCCTGGGCCACGTGGCCTCGCCCCGCAGGTGTAGACGGTGATTGCTGGACAAATGTTGCTTGGCAGGATTGTTATGTGAGGTAGATTTTTGGTTCCTCTTGTCCCCAAGTTTACAGGGAACTTTTTTTGGACATTTCCTTTCAAACTGACTCTGATGAGGGAAGAGCGTCCCTGCGCAGCTGCATGACCTTGAATTCTTTGGCTCTGACTCCATGTGTGGCTTAATCTAAGTGGCCTGGTCCATGGCAGGGAAGAAATTTAAAGTGTAAGCATTCACATGCACCAGGATGTGGTACTTCTTGAGTTCATTATGCTTATTTTCAATCTTGGTCAGTCTTTTCCATCTTCTGCCTAAGATGATATCTTTTGTGCAGTTTGTGGTCTTTGAAAAAGTTTTAAAAATAATGGTTATACTTAGTTACCCGATTATTTGGCCTGTTGGGGAAATAAACCTAAAATATGCCAACCTGGAAGACCTCTCCACACAAGTAGAAAATAAAGAAAAACAGTTTTATTATTGAATAAAAGTTCGACGAGGCCGGACATGGTGGCTCACACCTGTAGTCCCAGCACTTTGGGAGATTGAGGCCAGTGGATCACTTGAGCCCAGGAGTTCAAGGCCAACCTGGGCAACAAGGCAAAACCCTATCTCTACAAAAAATACAAAAATTAGCTGGGTGTAGTGGCGCACACCTGTGGTCCCAGCTACTCAGGCGGCTGAAGTGAGAGAATTCACGTGAGCCCGGGAAGGTTGAGGCTGCGGTGAGCCAAGATCATGCCACTGCACTCCAGCCCGGGTGACAGCAAGACCCTGTCTCAAAAAAAGAATGTGGCCAGGCATGGTGGCTCACGCCTGTAATCCCAGCACTTTGGGAGGCTGAGGTGGGTGGATCACCTGAGGTCAGGAGTTCGAGACCAGCCTGGCCAATATGGTGAAACCCTGTCTCTACTAAAAATACAAAAAATTAGCCGGGCATGGTGGCAGCGCCTGTAATCCCAGCTACTTGGGAGTCTGAGGCAGGAGAATCGCTTGAACCCTGGAGACGGAGTTTGCAGTGAGCCGAGATCATGCTACTGCACTCCAGCCTGGGCTACAAGAGCAAAACTGAACCTCTTAAAAAACAAACAAACAAACAAACAAAAAACGGGAGTGAATCTCTTTCTCTGTTTGGTATGAGGGAAAATTAGAGTTTTTTCTTCCTTTTAAATCTATATTTGCTCTTCCAGGCCTGTAAGCTCACGTTCCCCTCGGGGTATCAGCTGCTCCCCCACATTGTCTGGAGATGCGTGTTGGGGAAAGGCTGAAGGCCAGGCTTTAGTCTCTGAAACTTCTGATGATTTGAGGCAGAGGAGCATTCAGGGGCCCAGGACCAAGGGGAGACCTGGAAATCGTGCCCCCTCTTCCAGCTGTGAGCTGCCCCCATTCCGGGCAGCTCGTGAGTTGACACTCCGAGCCCTGGGATGCTGGAGGCAGGAGGTCAGAAAATACCCAAAGAACAGCTGCAGCCCTTACCCCTCCATGATTCCTCGGTTCTGCAGGGATTGGGGTCTGCCTCAGGTACACCTTGGAAACCAGCAGCCTGGGCTGTTACTGCTGATCTCTGAGGACAGTGCAGGCGGTATCTGTTCCAGTGTGAACTGGGGAAGAGGCAACATAAGACACTCTCTGCCTTGTGTCTTGCTGCCCCCTCTGGCTCCCATCTACTGTAGGCTGCAGCCAGGCCCTGCTCAGCCTCAGACCCATGCCTCAGCTTCACCCCACCCTGCGTCTGCCCAGGGGTGTCTCTTTTTCTTTTTTTACTCTTATATTAGTTCCTCTGATCTATGTTTTCCTTTTGTTCCTGGCTGATTTGGGGGTAGGGAGCCAGAACCCCAGGCTGATTCACCATCTCCATCTAAAGGCCATTTTCTGTTTACCACCCTGCCTAGAAATAAGTTGCATTTTACTCTGTAGCACTTAACACAAATAACTTGATTTAGGTACCTCCAGGAAATATTTCTGCGGAATGAATAAGCCCTCATTGCATTTCCAGAGCTGCATGGTGTCTGTGCTGAGCAGCTCGGTGTGGGGTGCTCCTCTGGAGGTGCTGAGCAGTCTGCTGTAGGGGTGCTCCTCTGGAGGTGTCTGTGCTGAGCAGTTCGGTGTAGGGGTGCTCCTCTGGAGGTGCTGAGCAGCTCGGTGTCGGGGTGCTCCTCTGGAGGTGTCTGAGCAGCTCAGTGTAGGGGTGCTCCTCTGGAGGTGTCTGCTTGAACCAGCCAGGTGAGTGGTTTCCATCTGGCATTTATGGGTGGAGCCAGGGTGGTTAAGTTCAGTGTGTGCCCCAGACCTGGCCTAGATGCAGGTCAGACCCGATGGAGACATGCCAGTAGCTCACATTCCACCCTGCTTCCCACCTGCTAGCCCTGATGTGAACCTACCCAACATCTAGTTTGAGGCTTTAAATAATCTGAGCTCCCAGCAAGAGAACACCAAGATTTAGGTTTCCAAATTAATTAGATCATCTAAAATAAAATGTCTACGGCATCCACAGGCAGTAACCCTCTGGAACAAGACAATTCATGTGAGATAAGAAAGAAGAGCCCACAAGACCAAGAATGCATTCTCAGTTTACAGACCACTGACCAGAGACCACTCCAGGGTGTCAGGACTAAGAGAAGTCACAAAACGGCGGGTTTCCCAAGAGCAGTGGAAAATGATCCAGTCACAGGTGGGTTATCGGTTTATCCTCTGTTTCGTGGATGTGCTGAGGCTTATGGAAATCTCTGCAACACACAGAAGGGTCTAAATACATTTAAATAAGAGAAAATATAAGCTTGGGAAAGAAGATGTCAAAAGAAGCGCATAGTAGATTATAGAATCATACAAAAGTCTCAGCTGGGCATGGTGGCTCACGCCTGTAATCCCAGCCCTTTGGGAGGCCAAGGAGGGCAGATCATTTGAGGCCAGGAGTTTGAGACCAGCCTGGCCAATATGGCAAAACCCCGTCTCTACTAAAAATACAAAAATTAGCCTCGTAGCTACTCGGGAAGCTGAGGCATGAGAATCACTTGAACCCAGGAGACGGAGATTGCAGTGAGCTGGGATTACATCAGTACACTCCGGGGTGACAGAGTTAGAAAAAGAGTCATACAAAAGTCTTAAAGTTGGAAGAGATTAATAAGAAATGGGATCCTGCCGGGCATGGTGGCTCAAGCCTATAATCCCAGCACTTTGGGAGGCCGAGGCGGGTGGATCACGAGGTCAGGAGATTGAGACCATCCTGGCTAACACAGTGAAACCCCGTCTCTACTAAAAATACGAAAAATTAGCTGGACGTGGTGGCAGGTGCCTGTAGTCCCAGCTACTCAGGAGGCTGAGGCAGGAGAATGGCGTGAAACCGGGAGGCGAAGCTTGCAGTGAGCTGAGATCGCACCACTACACTCCAGCCTGAGCGACAGAGCTAGACTCTGTTTTCGAAAAAAAAAAAGAAATGGGATCCTTCCCTATTACAGAATTGAACTGCAAGCTTTTCTCAGGTATTCCCAGAAGCCATAACAGAAGGAAAAGTAGGGATAGTTAATGTGGTTTCCTCTTATCAAAAGGGCAACAGAGTGAGATTCTGTCTCAAGAAATAAAATAAAAATAAAAAAACAAATGGGATCATGTATGTGACCTTTTGACAGTGGCTTTTCTCACTCAGCATACCTTTGAGATTCATTCATATCTTGTCGGCAGTTTGTTCCTTTTTCTTGGCATGTGGTTCCCTTGAATACTATCCCATGTATGGATGGGCCACAGTCTCTATCCATTCATTCATTGAAGGACATCTTGGTGGCTTCCACTTTTTAGCAGTTTTGAATAAAGCATTCATCTCCATATAGGTTTGAACATAAATTTTCAAGTGAATGTAAGTTTTCAGTTCACTACTTGAGTAAACGCCTAGGAGTGGGATTGCTGGGTTGTGTGGTAAGTCTGTGTTCAACTTAGAAACTGCCAAAATGTTTTCCAAAGCTATTGTACATTTTACATGCCCACCACAATGAATGAGAGTTGCTGTTGCTCTGAATCCTCACTGATATTTGTCAGGTGTGTGTATATGTGTGTGTGTGTGTGTGTGTGTGTGCGTGTGTTTAGTTTTAGCCTTCTAATAAGTACATAGTAGTATTTCATTATAGTTTTAATTTGCATTCACCTTTTGACATGATATTGAACATCTTTTCCTATGTGTACTTTCCATCCATGCATTTTCTTTTTTTTTTTTTTTTGAGTCAGAGTTTCACTCTTGTCGCCCAGGCTGGAGTGCAGTAGCACAACCTTGGCTCACTGCAACCTCTGCCTCCCAGGTTCAAGCAATTATCCTCCCTCAGTCTCCCCAGTAGGTAGGATTACAGGTGTGCATCACCACACCCAGCTAATTTTTGTATTTTTAGTAGAAATGGGGTTTCACCATGTTGGCCAGGCTGGTCTCAAACTCCTGACCTCAGGTGATCCTCCCGCCTCGGCCTCCCAAAGTGCTGGGATTACAGGCGTGGCATGAGCCACCACGCCTGGCCACCATCCATGTGTTTTCTTTGGTGAAATGTCAAGATATTTTGCTAATTTTTAAAATGGGATTATTTTCTTATTAATAGTTCTTTATATCCTGGATATGAGTGCTTTAGCAGGTATGTAATTTGCAAATAATTTTCTCTTAGTCTGTGCCATATCTTCTATTTCTCTTAACATTGTTTTTCACAGAACAAAAGTTCTTAATTTTGAGAAAGTCCAATTTATCAAATATTTTTCTTAAATTGATCAGGCCTTTGGTGTTGTATCTAACTCATTGCCAAACCCAAAGTCATACAGGTTTTCTTTGGTTTTATTCTAAAAGGTTCATAGTTTTTTATGTTTAGGTCTGTGGTCCATTTTGAGTTAGTTTTGATATAAGGTGTGAGGTATGTGTTGAGATCTCTTCTTTTGCTTATGAGTATAAAATTATTCTGACATTATTTGTCACAAAGACTGTAGAATTGCTTTTTGTACTTTTGTGAAACAATTGAGTATATTTGTAGGGACTTATTTTCGAGTTCTCTGTTCTGTTCCATTAACCTGTGTTTTTATCCTTTCACAAATTCCATCCTGTCTTAATTACTGTGCTTGTGTAGGAAATCTTGAAATCAAGTAATGTGAGTCCTTTTATGTTTAAACTATTTGGAACATAAATGTGCCTCTTTCATAGGCAGCATATAGCTGGGTTGCTTTATATTTTCCATTTCTGTTCTTTTGCTTCATTATGAATTTCTTCTGGTCTGTCTTCCAATTCACTTATTCCCTCTTCATCTTTTTCTAATCTACTCTTAAGCCCTTCCGTTGACTTCTTAACTTTACTTACTATGCACTTTATCTCTAGGAGTTGTATTTCATTCTTTTTCTTTTTTTTTTTTTGAGACGGAGTCTCGCGCTGTCGCCCAGGCTGGAGTGCAGTGGCCGGATCTCAGCTCACTGCAAGCTCCGCCTCCCGGGTTCACGCCATTCTCCGGCCTCAGCCTCCCGAGTAGCTGGGACTACAGGCGCTGCCACCTCGCCCAGCTATTTTTTGTATTTTTTAGTAGAGACGGGGTTTCACCGTGTTAGCCAGGATGGTCTCGATCTCCTGACCTCGTGATCCGCCCATCTCGGCCTCCCAAAGTGCTGGGATTACAGGCTTGAGCCACCGCGCCCGGCCGTATTTCATTCTTTTTCAAATCCGTTTATTCATTTGTATAGTCTTCTGATTCTTTTTCATACTTTCATTAGCATCTTTTATTTCTTTGAATATATTAAATGTATTTATTTTATATTCTGTGCTGACAGTTCAAATATCTCAAGTCTTTTATACCTCTCCTGTCTTTTTTAAAAATTAGATTTCTCAGGCCGGGTAAGGTGGCTCACGCCTGTAATCCCAGCACTTTGGGAGGCTGAGGCGGGCGGATCACCTGAGGTCAGGAGTTCAAGACCAGCCTGACCAACATGGCAAAACCCCATCTCTACTGAAAATATAAAAGTTACCTAGGCGTCGTGGCGTGTGCCTGTAATCTCAGCTATTCGGGAGGCTGAGGCAGGAGAATCGCTTAAACCCGGGAGGCAGAGGTTGCAATGAGCCAAGATCGCATCATTGCGTTTCAGCCTGGGCAACAGAGTAAGACTCCATCTCAAAATAAATAAGTAAATAAATATATTTCTTTTATTTTTTATTTTATTTATTTGTTTTTTGAGATGGATTATCAGTCTTGTCGCCTAGGCTGCAGTGCAGTGGCGCGGTCTCAGCTCTTTGCAACCTCCGCCTCCCGGGTTCCAGTGATTCTCCTGTCTCAGCCTCCTGAGTAGCTGGGAATACAGGCGCATGCCACCATGCCCAGCTAATTTTTGCACTTTTAGTAGAGACTGAGTTTCCCCGTGTTGGCTGGGCTGGTCTTGAACTCCTGACCTCAGGTGATCCGCCCGCCTCAGCTTCCCAAAATGTTGGGATTACAGGCATGAGCCACTGCACCCAGTCGATTTTTTTTTTAATGTGTGCATTCTGGTTTCTCTTTTACTCTGTACTCATTTTTCTTGAACCTTTATTTGTGAGAATTATTTGGATCTCTTTCTCTAAATAGAATTTGCATTTGATTCTGCTGGATGCCTGAATGCACGTCATCCTCAAAAACACTTTAGAACTCTGTGCTTAAGGTTTTTGCAAAACACATCTATACTGGAGTTCAACCCATACACCCATATAAATCTAGCTTGTTATAATTCTCAGGGACAATTTCTGACCTCTTTGTGTGACACTAACATTTGAGGTAAGAAATTAATTTTCTTTGATTTTTATTTTTCATTTACCCACACACAGTACTCCTTGTCTTCCAGCTTTATGAGGGAAAGTAACCTATTAGTCCTCTATGCTTGGGCTTGTTCCAAGCCTTTCTCCTTTCTTCTATGTTCCTTGTAACTATTGGGACAGGAATGTTCAAATTTACCTGAGTCCAAATGGAGGTTGGCCTCTGCTTACCTCTCAAGTTTTCCACTTTCCCTTTTAAAGAAGCCAGGACCTTTCCCACCGCTGCCACTCCCACTTCCTCTCTCATATTCCTGAACTTTCATCCCTGAGAAAACACACTCTGTTTCCATGCCTTTGCTCATGCTGCTGCCTTGAGAGTGTCCTTTTCCTCATCCCCCTCTGTGACCAGGACTTTCTAAAGACCCTTCATAAGCCTTACTTCTTTATAGCACCTGAGCCAGTGTTGTCAAATCCAGTGTTTTTATCCCTGTTTTGTCTCTATATTCTGTAAATGCTAGTTTCATAGTCCTGTAACCTTATTCACTCTGGCCTGAAGGGTACTTGAGAACATGATATTTTTCTACTCATTTTTAAATTTCTGATACGTGTTATGGTTCCTGGAATCTTTTTTCTTTTCTTTTCTTTTCTTTTTTTTTGAGATGGAATCTTGCTCTATTGTCCAGGCTGGAGTGCAGTGGCGCAATCTTGGCTCACTGCAACCTCCACCTCCAGGGTTCAAGGGATTCTCCTGTCTCAGGCTCCCAAGTAGCTGGGATTACAGGCATGCACCACCACGCTTGGCTAATTTTGTATTTTTAATAGGATGGGGTTTCACCATGTTGACCAGGCTGGTCTCCAACTCCTGACCTCAGGTGATCCACCCGCCTCGGCCTCCCAAAGTGCTGGAATTTCAGGAGTGAGCCACCGCACCCAGATCGTTCCTGGAATCTTAATTGCTCAATACGTGTGTTTTGGAAGATATCTGAAATAGCTGGCCAGTTGTTCTTACTTGGGAGCAGAATCACTCCCAGAGGGAAGACAGTGGTTTTTTGTTTGTTTGTTTTGTTATTTATTTATTTGAGATAGAGTCTCGCTCTGTTGCCCAGGCTGGAGTGAAGGGTGCAATCGTGGCTCACTGCAACCTCCATCTCCCAGGTTTAAGTGATTCTTCTGCCTCAGTCTCCCTAGTAGCTGGGATTACAGGCACGTGCCACCATACCTGGCTAATTTTTGTATTTTCGGTAGGATGGAGTTTCGCCATGTTGGCCAGGCTGGTCTTGAATTCCTGGCCTCAGGTGATCCGCCCACCTCAGCCTCCCAAAGTGCTGGGATTACAGGCATGAGCCACCATGCCCAGCCAGTGACTGAGAGATATTACTGTCATTAGCAGACAGAGGCCAGGCATGCTGAAGGGCTTAACTGCATGGGACAATGTTGCTTAGCTAAAATTGGTTCTCAAATACCAGTGGCACCTTCTTTGAGAACCACTGTATTGTTTAAAGACAACCTATTCTGGTTTCTTGTTCAGTGGATAGGTAGATGGATGAATGAATTCACAATGATAAATATTTTTAAGCTGGGTGCGGTGGCTCATGCCTGTAATCCCAGCACTTTGGGAGTCCGAGGCGGGCAGATCATGAGGTTAGGTGTCCAAGACCAGCCTGGCCAACATGGTGAAACCCTGTCTCTCTCCATTAATTTGTCATTCTACTCTTATCTCTTCAACTTCTCCCTCTTGATTGAGGATTCCGCTGCTGCTGTGTTTTTAGGTCAGCGTTACGTATGAATGCTTCATTGATGCATGGCACTTTGAGCTTTCCCAACAGTTTCACTTTGGTGTTGGCTGTTTTGACTGAGCCTGGTTAGAGCCCAGCCTCCTTCACTCGCCTGCATTCCTGAGACGACGGCATCTCCCTTCTCAATCCCCTTCAAATTCACCTGCACCTATGTTAGACCGCTGCAACTGAACCATATCGGAACTACCTGGCAATTTCCTAAGCCCCAAGAAATCTTGTAGATCATAGTTCTGTTTCAGCCGCCTGATTTGGGGGATATTTGTTAAAATAATTGAATTAACTAATATACAACTAAATATTGATATAAAAATTTTATTAAAATATTGATATAATATTTATAATAATTCTTGAAGTATGCTTCGAGCAACTTGAATGTTTTAAAAATATATATTTTTTTTTATTTATATATTTTTTATTTTAATTTATATATATTTTTATAAACTTTTTTTTGTGAATTTCTATATTCTTTATATTTTATATAATTATTGATTATTTATATTTTATAGGTTTTTGATTTTAATTATATATATTATATATATATTTATTTTTTTTTTTTTCATGAAAATATACTATTAATTGTACTCCACAGACTGATACAATGGGTATCTCGCGCCCATTGCAACCCTGCCTCCAGTTCAAATGATTCTCCTGCCTCACCTCCTGAGAGCTGATTACAGGCCGCCCAACAACACCCCAGTTATTCTTTTACAATTTTCAGTAGAGACGG